CACACACACACACACACACACACACACACACACACACACACACACACACACACACACACACACACTTCCTTATGCATGCATCAAATGGACATTGTATTTGGAACTGTGTTTATGCCTAACCTAAAAATTTTCCATAAAACCAACCATTACTAGTCTATTCCTAATTCTAACCATTACTAGTTTATTCCTAACTCTTACCATTACTAGTCTACACATAACTCTTAACCATTACTAGTCTTTACCTTATTCTAAACATTACTAGTTTATTCCTAACTCTAATGTTACTAGTCTATTCCTAACTCTAACCATTACTAATTTATTTCTGACTCTAACCATTACTTGTTTATTCTTAACTCTGATCATTACCTGTCTATGCCTAACTCTAAACATTACTAGTCTATTCCTAACTCTAACAATTACTAGTCTGTTCCTAACTCTAACAATTACTAGTCTATTCTTAACTTTAACCATTACTAGTCTATTCCTAACTTTTACTATTGCTAGTCTATTCCTAATTTTAAACATTACCAGTCTATACCTAACTCTAACCATTACTAGTCTATACCTAACTCTTAGCATTACTAGTCTATACCTAACTCTTAGCATTAGTAGATCATTCCTAACTTTAACCATTACTAGTCCATACCTAAATCTAACCATTACTAGTCTATTTCTAACTCTAACTATTACTAGTTTATTCCTAACTCTAACCATTACTAGTCTATTCCTAACTCTAACCATTACTAGTCTATTCCTAACTATTACCATTGTTAGTCTATTCCCAGCCATAACCATTACTAGTCTATACCTAACTCTAACCATTACTAGTCTATACCTAACTCTAACCATTACTAGTTTATTCCAAACTCTAAACATTACTAGTCTATTTATAATTCTAATGATTACTAGTTTATTCCTAACTCTGACCATTACTAGTCAATTTCTAGCTCTAAGCATTACTAGTTTATTATTAACTAACCATTACTAGTCTACACCTAACTCTAACCATTACTAGTCTATTCCTAATTCTAACTATTACTAATTTATTCCTAACTCTTACCAGTACGTCTGTTCATAACTAGAACCATTACTACATCTTACTCTGGCCAAAACTTAATTCACTCCATACCTGTAAATCTCACCAGTAGAGCACAGCAGAGCTGCAAATACAAGTGAGGACTGAGAAATGTTTTCACTTACCAAAACTGACTTTGTTGACCTAACATGGTCCCCACTTTGTAGCAGAAACGAGTACATAAACACACACACACACACACACACACACACACACACACACACACACACACACACACACACA